TTATATTTTTATTTAATTAATATTATACAATATTAATACATTAACTTTAAATTTGGCTTTTAATTAATATTTTAAGTTTAATAATTACTAATCCCACTGAAATCTTTTCCTGCCTAAGGAGTTTATCTAAGACACCAGAATCTCTTTATCCCACAAATGCTCTAGAAGCGGCTGGAGAGGAGAGAGAAGAGATGCAGCTTTGCTCTTGGTGTTTCTGGAGTCTCTGAAGCCTTCGCCCTCCTTGTAGCAGGCTGAGGAGGTTCGCCTTGGCCTAGCTATTCTCCTTCCTTAGTTCCTATCAAGCCAGGACACCTCATGGAACAGGACAACTGGACTTGAACTGAAAGAACCTAGGGCCACGTCCCACCCCGCTCCATCACTTAAGGGCCCAGCCTCAGTTTGCTCATTCGCAGAGTGCCTTTTAAGGTTGTCTCAAGGATGGGCAGAGTGCTTATATAATGGGGTAGTGGAATTTGAGTCCTCCTGAGAGAGGGGAGTGAGTGCAACAGCAATCTGGCCTCTGCACCCTGGGATGCTCTTTCCTGCATCTTGGCCAGAAGATTTCTCAAACAGATGACCCTATGGCAAACAGAGAACAGGCCAAGAAAGGCCACCAGCTCTGGAGCAAAAACAGCAGCCTCATGGACAGGGTTCATTTTCTGCAGGAAAGTAGCAGCCACTGACTGGACCAGGAGGGGTTCAGATCTTGAGCCCCCCGTGTTCACAGGATCTCTTGGCCTCGTAGGCTTGTTTGCAGCATGCATGATGGGGAAGAATCCTGCTTAGAAAGAAAGGAGCAGGAGCGACCTGGGAGGGAAGGTGTGGAGATCAGAATGATTCCTTCCCACAGAACCTGCTCTGGCTTGTGAGATCCAAGGCCTGCGAATATATAGCCCACCCCCTTATCTTCCCGGAGGATACCTGAGAATATATAGGGAACAAGGCAGAGGGCACCCTGGGAGCAAGGCAGGGGAGAGAAGGCAGGAGACATGTTCCCAGGACGATGAACAGGGTAGATAACAGCCAACAAGGCCAGAAGGTAACTGAGGCCAGCTTGTGGAAGACCGTGAAGTCAGGACTAGCTTGGGCGTGTGGATTTTATGGAAAGTCAGGGAAAAGTTTTAAAGCAGGAGTTGCATGTTAGAAACATCAGCTGGGAACATCTACAAGGGAAAAATGGAATCTGGAGACAAATATAGAAATACTAAGTTGTAGAAGCCTAGATAAGGGAAGTTGAGTCCTGATAGGCGTATGAGACGGGGAATGAAAGACTTGAGCCAGAGAGTCTAGAATCTCGGTCACTGTGGGAGTCCAGGCCATGGTGGGCAGGGGTCAGGCTTTAAGGCCCTTAGGTCAGGCTACCCAGTCGCCCTGGACACTGAAACCAGCACCCACACACTGCAGTTTTGCCTTCCTGGAGTCCCAGCAGACCACATGGCTGGCCTTTCTTCTGCCCGAGCCGTAGAAAGGCAGCAAAGGCTGTACACAGACATCTTGAGTTCCACTGGGGAGAGAAGGGAGACCCGAGGGAGAATGTCAGAGAACACTAGAGGTGTCTGGCCAGAGGGGCCCGGGCACAGGGCAACTAGGGACTTTCAGAAGAGCTCAGCCAACCCACTACAGCTCACTGGGCAGCACAACCATAGGATGAACCCTTAGGGAAGACTTTTTGTCCATCATTTTCCTATTGTCATTCTCCCCCAAAAAATGTTTTCACCGAAATGAGACCTTACAAATGAGGATGTGGACAAGGAACTTCCTGAGCAGGCTAAGGTGGTTTGTCAGGAGCTTTCTGCCCGCAAGAGTAGTCAGTCAGTAAAGGGCGCAAAACCTGAGGCCCTTATGGTAGGAAGAACAATAACCAAGCGCAGCCCCAAGACATTGGCATCCTAATCCCCAGAGCCTATGAATATTACAAGCCAAGGGGGACTTTGTAAATGTGCTTAAGTTAAAGGCCTTGGGATGGGAGATATACAGTTTACCCGGGGGGGGGCGATGTAATGACAAGGGCCTTTAAAACTGGAAGAGGGAAACAGCGTAGGTTGGAGTGACACAAGAGGGACTCAATCCGCCATTCATTCATTGCTGGCTTTGAAAGTGGTGAAAGAAGCCATGAGCCAAGGAATGTGGATGGCCTTGAGCTGCAGGCAAACAGAAGGGAACGGTATCCCTGGGCACTTCCAGAAAGTACCGCGGCCCTGACAATGGCTTCTTTTTTGCAAAGCCCAGTAAGACCCACGTCAGACTGAGATACCAGACAGAGCTGGGACATACCAAATGTGCATTGCCTTAAATTGCGACATTCAGAAAATGTGTGCTATCTCTCGTGACAAAGGCTGGTGATGGCAGTGACAGGAACTGAAAACCGGGTGTAAGCCTGGGCCCCTCTTGTCAGTCAGGTCTCAGCTCAAGTCAACTCCAAGAGGGACCTCTTCAGGCCACCCTGCCCATGGTCACTCTCTTGTCACCTCTACTCACTGGCTGTCTACTATCCGTTATGTTCGTTATTTAAAATGCTGATACTGATCGGATTTCCAGCCTTGCCTACTAGGCAGTGAGCTCTAAGGGAGCTGGCATCTCGGTTATTTGCCAATCACTGTATCCTTAGCACCAAGAAAAGTGATGCACCACAGTGAGAGCACCACAGTACTGGATGGATAAGTGACTGGAGGGCTACAGTGCTCTGCTAATGTCACGGAGGCACCAGTGATTGGAAACCTCCTGAGGCCAACTGCTCAGTGGCTGCTTACCCTAGTGTCAGCCTGTGTAGACTCAGCAAAATAATGACCATTAATCAGTTCAGATCACACCTCTTCCAGTGTTTAGTAAGTCTTGAGAGGGCTCAGCCTACTGTGCTGTAGCCCTCCCAGGAGTATGTGTGCAGAAAGTAAAACGTAAATTCCTTCTGTCCATCAGAATCAGAGGGCAATATACAGAGAGTCCCTGAGCAAACATGCTTAGCGTCCCGTCTAGGTCAAACACTCTGGGAAGAGAGACCATGCTCGTTTTCAAAGAGGCCTTGCTTGCCAGGTACTTTTCAGTATTTTCTAAACCCCACAGATGGGCTGTTTCTCTAGGAAATGGTTTGCCTATCCAGTCCAGGATGGCGAGGAAAACCTGGAGATAAAGTCACTGCCTAACCCGAGAATGGGCTGCAGGAACCGGAATGAGGTAGCAGGAAAAGCAGGGGCAGGGGTATGGGACCAGGATGCACAAAGCCCTCATTGACTGCTGTGCCTGAAAATTCAATCCAGACACTGGAGACACCCAGCAGGGCTGTAGAGTAACACGTACAACATGGTGTTCGTTGGGTCCGTTTTGGAAAACTGTCGACATGGATGAAAGGTTGGGTTTGTGAGTGCACTCAGAGTTGAATTGTGGTTGCTGCCTGTCCGTAAACCTCAGCCATGGGAAAATCATGGCATCAATCATAGAAATGAATCTTCACGGCACACAGGAAAGAACGTGGTTAAAAATGCTTACAAGTGCCGCTCTTGCAATAGGCCCGATGGCTGAAATGCCCCCAAAGAGCCACAAAATTTTATGTGTACAGCCTGAAGTATTGACTGTACTGTTATCAGGTGTGGACAGAGGTAAAGCTGTAAACCGGCTAACAGCAGCAATTAAGTACACTATCTGACCTGACACTCTGATTCTCAGCCTGAGAACTTAAGTATTTAACTGATGGCTGCTCTCCTCATCAAAGTCGAGACACAGAAAAGGCATTTTTAAAATAGATATCAGTCTTATAAACTAAATAAGCAACCCTAAGTGTGATTGATTACTTTGCCTGATCAATAAATAGCAGTCCCAAGTATGTGCTAAGTGCACTAAAAAGAACGAAAGCCAGGAGTTAAGTAAATCATGACGTTGTTACCTGCTGGTGTTCCATTTGCTGATGCATGTCAGTGTTTTGTGGACTTTATACAACACAGGCATAGAGATTATGTTTGTGAGTGTGTGTGTGTGTGTGTGTGCGCGCACACACATGCAAACCTCTCAGATCTCCTTTGTTGGCCACTTCTCTTCCACCATTCTCTTGGGTGAAGTTAAAACAACTTTCTAAAAGAAATTTCTAAGTGGCAAGCCATCACAACCACAATTCTAGTCATATTGCAGTTCTCCACTCCGAAAGGAAACACTGTCACACCTTCAGTGAGCTTGGAAGGTTGCATCTCCTGCTGGTGGTCCAAACCCACCCCAGTACTCATCCTCTCCGTCCCCTCTTGCCACCTTGGGAGCCACTATGGTGAATATTTTGAGATTGTATACACAAAACTTCCACAAACAGGACCCTGAAAAGCCACCATATACTACCAGCAGAGTCAAAGGGAACCTTCTCTTTTTCCTGAACTGCTATCAGAAGGGCCAACAAGTGAAGACAAAGAGGACAGGAACTCAAGGGGAACAAAAGCCTCAACATCTGGAGAGAGCAGTAGTAAAGACAGCACAGTTCAGAGTGTGCTGCTTCAAACAGCACTTGAGACTTGGCATGTTGGAAATTCCAGGCACTTCTGGGTACATTGCTGTAATCACAGAAAATAAAGATTCCCTCTAGGGGCCGGGGATATAGCTCAGTGGCACAGTGCCTGCCTGGCAAGCGTGAGGTCGTGAGTTCGATTCCCAGCACCAAAACAAAACAAAACAAATAAATAAAGGAATGACCCAAAGATGCTCCTTAAAAGGGAAGTGCCTGAAACATTAAAAAAAAAAAAAAAAAAAACAACCCAAAGGGATTGTGCCCATATTTCCACTGCCTCCCTTGACTGTAGGCATTGACATATTCCATCTGTTCACAAGGCAACAGTCTCTTGTGAGCACTTTTCCTACAGCCCATGGAGCACAGGGACCATTTGGGCCTTGTCTCTGACTGCTTCCGGAGCGCTGTGGCACATGAGCCCTACCTACTATAGGTCACTTTATTTTGAACCACCCCCACTCTCCTAACTCAAGGGTCTGCATGGTTTTTTTAGTGTGGAGTTTTAGTTTGAAGACACAGCCCACTGGAAATGAACAGTGTAATTTCCCATGTGCAGATATCCACAGACAATTTTTTGAAACAACACATGTTTTAAAAATTCAAGTCAAATCCAAGTACAAGCTAATTGGTTGCTATCACCCAGCCCCTGGCTCTCACAATAAGAAAGTGGTCCATTTCTGGGTCACAGGGGGATGAAGGCACCGGTAACTCTGAAGGAGGTTAGTTCCTTGAGCTTGGAAGTCAGCCTGAGAGAAACACCGAGGCTGAATGACTGATGGGGCTGGCCCAGTCTCTGGCTGTCCTGGGCCAAAAGCCAAAGGCCTTTACACAGGCAGCACATTGTCTGTGGACATAGCTGAGGATGGACCCACATTCACCATGGGGCAGGGCAATCCCAGGAATGTGGGAACTCAGGTGAGGGTGCGTTCCCTGAGCCATGCTCGGCAGAGGATGCAACTGACTTTCACTCTACACAAAGTTTCTCTACTACTCTGTACCCATAAGCCTCTGTGTTAAAGGAGCTTGAAGGGGGAGCTGCGGACGCCAACATATTCTTGATGGCTTTATGTGTGGTCCAGACAACCCCTACCACCTTAATGCTAGGAGCACTGGGATGGACCCGTGGGAGTGTTGGTACCAGTCCAGTATCAGAGGAAGAAAAGGGCAGAGATGAAGATCCAGGTGAAGTGGATAAGGCTGGAGGTCAGAAAGGGCATTGCAGGCAGTTGGGTCTGTGTGGCTGAGATACTGGTCAAAATGAAGGTGTTCTACAAGGGTTTCCCCACAGGGCACTGAGACCAGGCTTGTACCCTAAAAGAAATGAGGCAGCATTGCCCATAGGAGGGGTGGTCTGTGGGGTCGGTTGGCATCCTGGGTGCGAAGCAGGAGCTGGGAAGTCCTATGGCGGCGACTCAGCTGAGAGAAGCACAGTTCAGCTCTGCATCTGCCTGGCTGTCCTCTGCCCCCTCCTCCAGTTCATCGGGGCTGTCAGTGATGTTGGGCTCACTGGAGCACTGCCGGTGGGGCGGCGGGAAGCTGGGCGGCAGGAGCAGGCATTTGTCCTCACCGCCAGCCTCCTCCCCTAAGCCCGAGTGCATCATGGTGGCCATAGCCAACAACTGGATGTCGGAGTGGGCATTGGCCACTGTGTGCCGCCGGACGCTGCCACACTTCTCCAGGTAGGCCTCCCCCTCCTGCTCTGTCAGTGGGGTCAGAGCCATCTCGTTCAGCGGCTGACTGACCGTGGCCAGCGGAGAGGCATAGTTCAGGAGCATCATCTTGGGCCGGACTCTGGAGTGCCTCCTGGCTGCAAGAGAAAAATCAGGAGAGGCCGTAATTGGGGATGGGTAGTGGTGAGAAAAACTCCTCATTAGTTTGGGGAAAGTCAGGTGGTGGCTAACTGCTAGGGACAACTTAGGGTGCAGCCCTGCTGACATGCAAGGGAGGGACATGGTCATGGCCCTATTGCAACATTCCCTGTTCATACCAGATAGCGCCCCTGATCAGCCAGATGGCCACCAGAAGACGTTCCTTGAGATTAGGGCAAGGCAGTCTCCTCTCTTTCCTAGCTGCTGCCTGAGCTTCGCTGGATTTACCCTAAATCCCATCAGCCAATCTCCTTTGAAGACCTGGGCACTGGCTGGTCAGCTCCAAAGAAGCCTTCTGGCTCCATTCAGGATGTGGCCTGTGTCGTGCCCACAAACTACATGAAAGGGGGCACCACAAGCTTGAATGCAGAGGAAGAGGTAACAGGGAGAGCTCAGCTACCAAAACCAAGGCAGTGAGACTATCCTCCAGCTCATAGGGAAGCAGGACTGGTGCTCCTCGCTTCCCACCAGGTTGATAAGCTGAGACCAGTGTTCACGTCTGCTCCCCTGGACTCGAAGAGCCTCCAGCACCATCTGAGAGCAGGCATCCATGGATGGCCCCAAAGAGGAGGGATGGCTATGAGTTATAACTGCTGGGGTTTTGTTTTTTATATTTGTGGAACTGGGGATTGAACTAGGAGCCCTCACACTGAGCTACATCCCCAGCCCTTCATTTATTTTGAGACAGGATCTCACTAAGATACTAAGCTGCTTAGCTTGGAATTGAACTTGCAGCCTTCCCACTGTGACCTCCCAGAGTGCTAGGATTACAAGTATGCAATACCATGAAAGCTGTGGCTGTTCTAGTGCTCATCATGTTCCAGGAACTGTGCTAAATCTTGACGTGCTTATTTTAAATCCTTGCAGAAACTGAACCCAAGTCATGATATATTATTAGCTCCCACTTCACAGGTGAGAAAGTTGAGTATCAGAGCGGTAATGATCTACCCAAGGTCACATAACTAGAACATTGTCAACATGGGACTCAAGTTCCGTCTCACTGCCCATGCAAAATGAATGCACCAATAACTGACAGACAAAGTACTTCACAGGAAGGACAAGCCCGTGTATGGGGGTGCCAAGATGGAAAAAGTATCTGGGGACAATCGGGAAACTTGCCAAGAAGGATATGCACTGGAGTTGGGCCTTCGGGTGGTAGAACTCCCAAAGGGGACAGAGGGTGACAGCACGGTGAACAGTGGGAACAGCCTGAGCCAGCTGCTGGGACAGGTGCACCCTCGGGCTACAGCGTGGCTGGAATGCAGAGTCTGTGGGCTGAAGGAGACGGGCCCAAGCAGGCAGGACATGTGTGTCCTAGGTGGGCCCTGGAGGGCCAGATGGAAGCATCTGTGACACATCAGACAGGCTGTGGGGCGGGAGGTACCCTGGAGGTGGGGAGCGGCACGGGGTACGTGTCGGAGAGAGTGTCCTGGCAGGAGTACGCAGGACAGGTTGGAGCCAGGGAGATCAGAAGTGAAGAAAGCCAGGGAAAAGGTTTGGCATCGTTTTCTAAAATAAAATACAGATTACACGTGGAAGAAGGTTAATGCCCACCTCAGAGTCACGGCGTGAGGTGATCGGGACAGGACCTAGAACTGTGGCGATGAGACAGGGTGAGGAAGACACGTGACAAAGGCTGGGGACTCCACAGGGACCTGCACCGTCAAACCCAACAATCCTGGTCTCCGGGGAGACCAGGGGCTGGGGTGAGGACCAGGAGGAATCGAGATAGTAGCTGCACAGGGCGGCATGGGATAGGGCACAAGGAGGTTTGGGGAGGAGGCTAGAGATGCAGAGGCAGAAGCAGCACTCTCGGGCCCCAGAGCTTACCCCTGGCACACAGGGCCGGAGACCCTGGAGCAGCCCAGTGGGAAACCCCTGTGGGCATTCGCACGTGCAGTTGTGAAGCTGGTTTCTGTCTAAAGTCAGAAATGTGGCTATTTCCAAAGGGAAATTTAAGGACATCAGAAAATGTTCACACTAGAGTATCTGGTGATGAAAGCAGAATATCAATAATATTATAGGCATTTTTCTTTTTTAAATAAAACTGAGGCTCCACTGGCTGTTGTACGCCCACATACATGTATACAAGCCAGGAAGACGACACATGGAAATTATCAGTGGTAATTACCACGGAGTGAAAGAGTTACCTACCAGTGATTTTTTACAATTTCTCCCTTATCCTCCTTTGGATGTTTTCCAAATTTGATTTTGCATGCATGCTTTTATGACAAAAAAAAAAAACAAAACTGGGACATGAAAATTGCAGTCACCTGGCCCTTGGTAATGACTGGATCTCACAAAGTGAACATGACCACTCTAAAGACGGAGAGGGGCCGGGACTAACCGATTCTGGCACATGCGCGTGTGGGGTGGGTAAAATGAGAGGGACTGCCAAAACCGATGATGAAAGTACGGCAGCTAACACACTGGATAGCACTCAGAAGGGCTCAGCACAGTTCTGAGCATCTTGTGTCTACGAACTCATTCAACTCTCCGTTATTATTACGACAGTGTTGAGGTGGGGAAACTAGAGTCAGATAACTTGAGGTTAAACAGCTTGTCCAGTGTCACAAAGGAGAGGCTGGGACTGGAACACAGGAGCGGACCTCTGCGTAAGGCCCCCGCGTCTGGGGCAGGAGGGAAACTGTAGGAAGGTGATGGGAGAGGTGGAGGACAACCGAGACAGTCAGGTAACCAGAGCTGCCCAAAGGAGGAAGTGCGTATACCCACAGCACCCTGCTCTGAGGAACTCTCCTCTCCCACCTACACGGGGTCAGTGCGAGGACAGAGTCCCCCGCAGAGACTGGGGCCAGATGAGGACCGTGGCCTGCCGGTGTCCCTCCGACTGAGAGAAGCCCTCCCTGCCGTGCTCTTTCCCAGGCTTCCCCGACGGCGTCAGCATCATGAGCTGCAGCACAGACCTGAGCGAGGAGTGAGGCGGTGGAGATACAACGCACCCTGCCAGCCTGGGAGAGCAAATTCAAGGGTGTGGAGACGCTGGAAATGCAGCTGTGCAGAACTGAGGAAAAGACCGGTTCTATGCGCAGACTCTTTCAGCCTTCATTTCGCTGGAGCACAGCTCTCTCTGCCCTCACCTGTCTCTGTCACTTCTTTTCCACAGTGCCCCTCCCTGACACCTTGAAGACCCCAAACAAACACCCCCTCTCCCAGCAGAGAGGGCCACGCAGTGGGGAGCAGCGGAGAGAGAGGCCGGGTAGTATCAGTGTTCTCACCACTCACGGACAGGAATGGGGGGCCCTCTCTGAGGGGAAGTCACAGTGATGCTCAGAGACTGGCCTTAGAGTCCCTTGGCCCAGGCTGCTTTGCTGTGTTCTCTGCTCTTCCTGTGGGTCTGGGGGCCCTGGACATGTGTGCCCGCTCTTGGGGAACCCATGCTCCTGGATGGCCCTACCAGTGAGACTTCTAACATCACAGTGTCTACCTGCAAAGGGCGCAGGTAGTACCAGCTACCATCACTGTGTGTGTGTGTGTGTGTGTGTGTGTGTGTGTGTGTGTGTTTGAGAGAGAGAGAGAGTGTGTATGTGTGTGTGTGTGTGTGTGTAACTAATGACTCTTGAGTCAACTGGCTCAGAATCCCCAGGGAGCTGTTTTGCTAATAATTTTTCAAAACCAAACGATAACCCATAGATGTCCCCTCCCATCTACACTCACACTCTTCAGTCCTAATCTCACTCTGCAACAGGTGGACTCGGTCTCATTATTCCCCCTGCGCAGGTGATGATCAGGGCCAGCCCCAGTCCTCTTAGATCCTACACAGCAGGGCCCACTTTCCCCACTACACAGGGCTGCATCTCAGGGAACTGCTCCTGCCAGCCCCAAAGACATGCTCCTTGAGCCAGCCCACCCTCTGAAGCCAAGTCATGGCAAAATCTGCCCCCAGCAGGTGTTGAACAAGAGATTGATATTGTCCCAGAGGGACTGGGTCATTGGTCCCCCTCCTTGAGGACAGGAGACAAGTTGCAACAGAGCAATCAAGAAGAAAGACTGTATGCAGGAGCACTTGTCCCCTCCAAGCTACATGTTTGTACAATGCTCCCACATTCTTAAAATAATGATGCATTATTTTTATGATCACAAAGATCAATACCTATAAAACACAAGCACCAGAAGAGTTCAAAGCAGCAAGGACCTCATTAAAGAGCCATCCCTTTTAAAAATGCCCTTGAGAACAGCTTATTTCTCACACTTCTGCTAGAAGCAGGCACTTCGGACTGGCCACAGGGAAATCTATACCAGTTTCCAACCAGCCTGACAGCCTAGCAGCAGACCAGACTGGACCTGTTCAGCAAGCACAGACTACAGGCAGAGCCTGTGCTCCTGAGACCAGGTACCTATCTGCTAGGAGGGGTTTGTGCAGATAGTGGGGCCAAGGAAGCAGACAGGACCCTGGCATTTCTACTGTTCAGGGAGACTCAGACAATATATTACAGGAGGATGGGGAATGCTCTCTTTGAGGAAGAGGTGTCTGAAAAGCAGCAGTGTTGATGCTGGATTTTACAACATGGCTGAAATCTGGGACAGGTACACATGGCCAGGACAGGCAGTTCAGTTAGAGGAAAGAATGAGAACAAAGTCTGGGCCTACAGAGGACATGGGCTGAGTGGAGGGATTCTGTTTGCATGGCTGACACATACAGCATCTCTGGAGGAAATGAGAACAGGACGAATGTTTCCTATGGGCGCCTGTCTGATGGCATGAGCCAAGGAAGGGTGTGTCTGAAGGGTTCCTGGATACCATCTGTAATGGTTGATACATTGTGTCAACCTGAGAAGTTTAGAAGCTTAACTAAGTGACTCAGCAGATCTACATCCTAGGGTGTAGAGGACATGCCCTAAGGCAGCTATTTATGCCCAAGGATGTTATCATGGTTGATGCATTGTGCCAACTTGATAAGTTCAGAAGTTAACTAAGTGAC